ATTCTACAACATGATATACCTATACTTGAGCACTTTCAATGCCAGCACGCTGAGATGCATCGCAATTGTCTCTAACATTGTCAAAGTTTGGAAAGACCTCTGCGAAGTCCTTCGCAGCACGCATTCGTCGCATAGATGCCCGAGTGGGGCGCATAGCCTCCGCCGTCAGCTTAACCAGAGTAGGAGCTTGAAAGAGACTCGAAAGTTCCTGTTTTACTGCACTTGCAATCGCACGAATTCGTTTCCCCCCGGTGCCAACCACATACCTCTGTAAAGTTAAAGAGCAAATGATGAAAGTTAGCAAAAAGCCTTGCTATATAGTAACGTTTAAGTGGAATTTACAATAGTACGCTCGTTGGGGCAGCGGAGACGAACATGTACGTAGACCCGACCATCGCCATCAGCCTGTCTCACATGCTCACACTCATCCACTGTTACAGCGAGGTTGTAGGGAATCTCCTTTGGCAATTGGTCCAAGCAATGAGCCCACACAGACATACGAATGAGTTCTGAGGGTTCCAAGTCAGTAATCAGGGAAGGAGAAAGCACCCATTGACGATCCGGCTTGGCCCTTTCCAGCAGATAGTTCTGACAACAATGGTAGGACTTTTCAGGCAAGAGTATCTGGGGTCGCTGATTAAGCACATTCACAGAAAAGACGTACTCTGAGCTTATCGATGCCCTCACCAGTGGCCGCGGAGACCATAAAGACCTGGCTAAAGCCGGCCCAGTGCTTTGCACCCTGCAACCGAATACTGAGTTCGCGCCACTTTTGTCGTCGCAAGGCGACCTCCTCCTCTGAGGCTGAGTTCAGCATCATCTGCATGCGCACGCGCTCCAGCAAGCCCTCCAGACGCGCGTCCTCACTTGCAAGCTCAACTTCTCTTTCCTTACTAGATGCGCGGTAAGGTGTCAAGGCTTGCTCATCAATAGGCAAAACATCTCGGGAGGGTTTAAAGTGAACAAAAAAGTCCTCAATGGTCTGGTGCTCTACGTCCGTCACGCAACGCTCGGTAGATTCCGCGACAGTTACTGTAGAAGAAAGACGTGCAGACAGTAATACCCTAAACAACACTTGTTGGGATATGACTATCCGGTTTGGTGAATAAGTTGGCTCGTGGAATCAAACTGATAAAATATGGGCAGTTAGTTACCGGAAAAAGGAATAGATCAACAAAAGCTGTTGAGCCACTCATCCCACATAGGGATTTTTGTTTCCAAATCAGATGGTGGATAAAGATGGACGACGGACTGGGATGGGCGTCTCCTTTTATCAATTTGCAAATTGATTTGGTTATTCTGACTATCTACCAACATCGAAACTGGTAAGTGAATCACTTCGTGCTTTTGAAAAGGGTTTAAATTGAAACGTGTGATAAGTTAATCGGACCTCGAAAACCTCAACGCGATTGCACAACTTCCAGAACTAAACTTGGATGGTTAAAATTAACTGCCAAATTATAATCAAACATTCATCGCGAACAAAGAACAACAAAGCACAATTGACACGAGTGACACTTATTGAGGATCGCAGTATATGCTTAGAGGAACATGAAGGAAATGTAAGTCCAAAAGTACATTATAGTACACAGGATTGTCGTTGACAGCCCACGGCTTACCTACACTAGTGACATTTTACTGACACCGAAATATTAAATCCTGTTTACCAGCGAGGAGATTTTATTCCAAAGGCTCCACATTTCAAACGAGATTGTGAGGAGTCTGGAAAACGAAATCATTAATATATTTGGTACACATACAATTAATGCAACAAATCGGACTCGGCTCGCCTCAACTTGTCACAATGACCGAAAGTAAGTCTTGAATCATACCAAGTTATATCAGCACATATTGACATCATAAGACTTGAAATCCAATAACTAAGTTTTGAACATCATCATCATCTGAATGAAATAAACCGAAAATTCATGAAGAGAACAATACAGACTCGCAAGTTGGGTAAACCACTGGCAAACTATTATTTATACCCGATTTTTAAGGCGTCAAAACTCACAACCACTACTTTCAGAGGTTATAAGAGGGTCACCAGGAGAAAGACGGGGGTGAGAAGTAGCCTTCAACGGGGACGCAGATTCCACTTGAATGGTTGGCGAGAGGAGACTGTAGATGCGCTCAATGTGCTGCAGTCGCTGTTGAGCTGCCTCATGGGCTTCAAGGGGAAGGAGGGGAAAGATAATTGCTTCAGGACTAAGATGCTGCCTGGACCAGCCATCCTGATCTATCAGCTTTGCACGTTCGTTAAATTTGTTCATGAAGGCGTCACAGTGCGCCTGCCTACCGCCTACCAAGCCTCCAGTAAGACAGCGAGTTATCTCCAACAGACGAGTCCGATCGCCTAGCAATTTGTCTACCTGAAGTAGTTAGTTAAAGTGAGCTTACAAAAACCGTTCGACTCTGAAACAATGTAATGGCTCGAAGTATCGCCGATACTTTATATTCTTAGGTGGTTGACAGACCAGTGAGTCAGGCAGCATCGTAACACAAAATTGTTCCTAACTCGTTCACCAACGACAGTCTGCTTTTAACTCAGTGTCGCATACACAGACACCAGTTGTTATATTGTGACAGGTTGTTGCATCAAATTGAGTTATAATTCATAAATCGTCATCAAGATAAAACAAAATAGATCAAGCAAACATAATCACATTCTTAGGAACTTTTCCTACTAGCATTTAAAACAGTCACGTAAGAAAGATGCCAGACTAACAAGACGAAGCATGCAGACCTCAGTGATGAAGTGCTCTCCAGGAAAGTAATAGAGAATATGTAAGGCAGGAAGAAAAGGCAAATACTTCAGCACATCAAGATTTAAAAAGGCATGCTGATACCTTTCTTAATTTCGACACTTTCTAGCTTTCATAAAAATTACAGTGGTCATTTGCAAACATCCAGTCATTCTGAGATCTCACTTAGAAGTTGTGATATCGTCATTTATCCTTTCAGCATCAATAAAAGCCAACTATTACCTTATTCAGAACGAGAACCGACTCCTTGTCATCGAAAAAATGGAGCACTTTCAGGACCTCCGGATCCAGTGTCTTTCTAGCGTATCTGTTTGAGGCGTCTACCACTACAAGAACTAGGTACATTTAGGAACAAAGCAAGACTACCTACCCAAATCGGCATCAAAAATGGCTGCGTGAGGATCCCGAATGAATGTTCGCTCGAGCTTGAATCTACACGGAGAGGCAGTAAGATGTCTAAAGACAAGTTGGAATATTACTGTCGAATTTGCTGAGAAGATACGAGGCCAGGAAGATCGACAAAAGCTAGCTGAACATTGTCCTTGGTAAAGACAACGGTCTGCTTGGAACGCGTGGTGTGAGCCTTGCCCGAAACGGCGCAAACACGCCAACTTACAAGCATATTAACCAAGGAAGACTTTCCAACATTAGGGAAACCGACGACGGCGACCTTTAGCAGTCGACTGTCCGGAGGACTTTGAGAGGGCATAAAAAGCATTTTTTCAAGAAATTCAGCTATAGTAGGAGAAAACCCTCAATTGAGTTATTATAGGAGCTCTCAGATGCGACGGTCGCTGCACTAACCCTTAGTTCGCGGTACTCGATGAGGACTGAGAGCACTACCAAGGGTAACAGGATGGATAGAAGTATTCGCCAGCTTCCTGAATTGGTAAGCAAAACACTGCAACGACATCTGTTGAATGAACCTGCGCGATAGCATAGTTAGACTAAAAAAAAATACGTGTCTCATCACAGCGTGGAATCCTGCACGATAAAATTACAACTCAACATAAAAAAGAGTTTCATGATGCTACCAATAAACTGCAAAGCGTGTTAGCATGACAGCTTCCATACCAGTAATGGGTATAGCAAAGAAGCTTAGAGCTAGTAAGCATCAAAATAGTCACTCAAAATGAAGGAAATTTAACAGCAACAAATGGTTCCCACCTTTGATTAATGCATTCATAAATCCTAGCAAAGCTAACGATGAAAACCCCAAGTGGGAACTTGAGAATGGTGACATTGTTGATGAACGATTTTCCTGCTAGCAGGAATAGTAAGGAGAACCACAACGTCTGAAACAAGCCACAGCATATTTTATGGAACTTAAAAGACAAAAATATACACAACAATAAAGGACGAACAAAACCTTAGAAAAGACCTGGAAGATTTAGTGAAACTGAGCAACTAAGTGAAACACGAAAAC